ATCCGAGATAAACCGATTAAGATTGATAGATGCAGACAGATTGGGATGATATATATATATATATATATATATATATATATATATATATATATATATATATATATATATATAAACTCTCAGAAAATATTCCCTCAAATATATTCTCTCAAAAATACTCTTTCAAAAATGTTGAAACTACCCGCGTCTCTCGTTTCGTGCGCATGTGTAGACGTCAATGAAGACCAGTTCGATGAAACACGTTACAAAAAGCTTTCCATTTTGTCATATATATATATATATATATATATATATATATATATATATTATATTTTTTTTAAATTTTCGCTAATTTCGAAAAACAATTTTTTTAAACATGTTCTGAACCAGAAACTTTTTTTAAATATTATTTACAGAGAATTTGTGGAATTGAATACAGGGGATTAAACCAGATATAAATTTTCCTTAGTTTAAAGTAGATTCATATCCTGCTAAATATTAATAAATAAGGATATAAAAGTTTATGACTCTAGTTATATAAACTTTATAAATATGTTTCTCTGAATATAATTATTAACCATTTTAATTCAAATACCTTTTAATTTAAATTTCTTGGTTAATTATATAAAAAAACTTATGAAAACTTTTTCGCTAATTTCTAAATCTTTAAAAATGTTCTCTTTTAATATTATTTACAAGTAATTTGTTGAATGAAATATAACAGCATTGAAATTTAGCCGTTGACATGACCTAACAAGTCTGTTTCTTAATTCACATGGGACTAAATAAACTTTAAGCTCTTCCACCATAATCAAATAACATATTGAGGTCAGTATATCAAAATAGTTCTACACTTTCCGTCTTTTCTCACTGTCTAAAAAAGATAGCAATATATCTTGACTTTAACTTGACTTTCTTTTGTAATTTGTTTGTAGGTCTTGAAGATTGAGAGCTACATTTTTAGAGCTCTCATGAAATAAAAAATTATTACCTATGGGATTTTAAGTGTTTGATATTCTTTAATTAATAATAATAATAATAATAATATATATATATATATATATATATATATATATATATATATATATATATATATATGTGTGTGTGTGTATATTAGTGGTTACATACACATACATACTATCTATCTATCTATATATCTAAATACATATACATACATACACATACATACATACATATATATATATATATATATATATATATATAGTATATATATATATATATATATATATATATATATATATATATATATATATATATATATATATATATATATATATATATAGGACAGGTAAGAATCAATGTCTAGGACAAAGAATATAATAAAAGGCTTAAACACTAATATTCCATGGTTATAATTTATTACATTGGATCGTAATTACGATTCCAATGTAATGAATTGGATAGTAATTACGATTTCAATTTAATAAATTATAACCATGGAATATTAGTGTTTAAGCATTTTATTGTCTATATATATATATATATATATATATATATATATATATATATATATATATATATATATATATATATATATATGACATATATTTAGGTAGCAAGTATTCATCTAAACAAGTTTCATTAAAAAGAACTGACAGTAGCTGTCTCTGTTTCATTTTTTTTAATATTTTCCCAATTTTGCAATAAGGCGTTGAGTAGTGTGATAAACTGTCCTGTGCTCAAATTTTGTGATTTTGTTCAAGTACTTTCGTCTTTTGCAGTCACTATTGACAGCCGAAGTGTGTCTGTGTGGTAGTTTGAAATCCTTTACCCACATCCTGGTGTTTTTTGGGAATCTGCAAGTTTGGAATTGTTTGCTGTGACGTCAGGTGTAATGGATATTAGGAACAATACTCCGGCCCCAGGTTGTCAGTTCATCCAGCCCGCAACCGCTCATCGCTAAAAATGCGCTAAAATATAATGGTTTATACGGAATAATCAAGAGGTTGTAGTTAAACTTGCTATGCAGAAAAAATTAAAAATTAATGTAAGTAAAAAAGCCAAAATTTGCCCAATCTAATTTTTGCATCTGACAGTTATAAAAGTTTTAAGTGTTTGATATTCTTTAATTAATTAATAATAATAATAATAATAATAATAATATATATATATATATATATATATATATATATATATATATATATATATATATTGATAATATTAGTGGTTAATATATGCATAATACATCTATCTATATATATATATATAAATACATATACATACATACATACACACACACACACACATATATATATAAATACATATACATACATACATACATACACACACATATATATTTTTTATATATATATATATATTTATATATATATATATATATATATATATTTATATATATATATTTTTATTTTCAATTCAACATCATCACTTGATAAGACACAGAGTGTGTTGAAATAAAATGGCTATTTTTGTAGTGATTTTAACATACTTATGTTATAATTTTTTTAAAAAAATAATTATATATATATATATATATATATATATATATATATATATATATATATATATATATATATATATTTTTCCAAGAGAATAGAATCCAGGTAGAACTTCATGTCTAGGACAGAGTAAGAATATAAGAAAAAGGGTTAAACACTAATATTCCATGGTTATTTTTTCTGCATTTCTATGATGACATGGCCTTAATTTGTATTTAGATACAGTGTATTTATTGTCAATTTCTCAATATATATATATATATATATATATATATATATATCTGAAATCTCTTAAAATTGTTGAAGTGAATAAACTTCATCGGAAACTCGAGATTGACATCTTCAGTGATTAGAAGGAAGATTTTTCTCTAATTTTCAGTGTCTCAAAGACGTTTGCATTGGAATCACAGAAGATCCCAATGTCGAGTTTCCGAAGAAGATTATTCATGGCTTGAACATTTTTAAAAGATTTTCAGATCCCAAGAGAATTGAATGTGACATTTTTCTGTTCCAGAATCAGTTTGATTATAACCTTGACGCCAGTTGAACTACAGTTGGAACTCAGTGATTTGCAAGCAAGTGACTTATTTAAAGAGAACCAAAGAAGGAAAACTTCTTGAATTTTATCGCTGCTTTCGTAATGATGAGTTTTCAAAGTTGAAGAAATTTGACTCTAGTATGCCATTAGTGTTTGAAACAACTTATCACTGTGAGCAAATATTTTCAAAAATGAAGTATGTAAAGTCAGCATATCGTATGAGGTTGACTGATGAACCATTTCTTTTGGGTGGATGCAGCAATTCTAAAGCAAATATTGATTCTATCTTAAAAGGAAAATGCCAATTTCACAAATCTCACTAAACTTTAATTTTCTGCTTAGTTTGTGAGATTCGGATATGTGCGCACTGGGTGTGATATAATTATATTATTGCTTATTTTCTCATCTTTAATAAATTTTTGCTAAATAAGTATATTTGATGTCATTATTTTTGTGTATTCAGTGTATTGTATTGAACAAAATGGTTATCCGGCCCACACTCGTCATTCTCTCAATTATCTGGCCCTCTGCGAAAAAAGATCATTCAGGCCTTTAGTAATGGTACCAACATTCATACTCTGGCTTCCATCTTGAAAGTCCATTCAAAAACCATCAAGAGAACGGTGAATAAATTTAAAAAGAGCGAACAGTAGAGAGGAAAAATATATCAGGAGGTTACAAAAGCAAGAGGGATCATCATTTGAACTTAAACAGATCAATTAGAAAAGATCTAACTCAATCCATAATATTTTTGGCACGTGGGAGAGAGGAATTTCAGCTATGACAGTTCAAAGAGCAGTGAAAAAAAAGACATGAAAATGAAATCGTAAATGAATATAACAGACCCAACTGGAATTGGAAATGGCTCGCAGATTTACAAGATTTACCCATAGCCATTATAAATTACACCACCCTCACACCCAAACTGGTATTCCCAAACAGTCACTCATGTAGTTACTGACCAGGAATATCTTTAAATTATCTTTTAAAGTCTATTAATCAGGCGTTCTCATGTGATAGGTGAACCTTATCTACCTAATCAGTTTATCGTCAGAATAAGACAAAAGGAATATGTGCCTTAAGTTGTTAATTGTAAACATAAACCCTCCTTGTCATAAATCTTACGAATTTGTATTAAGATTAGCGTTAAATGAAGAATCCTTTCTTTCGGTGAATGAAAATTTTCAATGGGTAAGGTGAGTGATTCAGTTAGTTATGTGCCATTTGTGATACACGCTTAGGCGATCATATATCTTTCTATACATGACTGACGAGGCAGATTTTTTTCGCGCAGTAGGTTGGCATTTCTTCCTGCGGTGGACCAGTTGCCATTCAAGGCTATAGAACCCGGGGCGAGAAGAAGAGGATTCATATCTTTCCCAAGGGTATTAGCACGTAAGTGAATGTAATGGATTCGACTGGAAAATCAGTCAGTCATGTGTCATGCGTGATACACGCTTAGGCGATCATGTATCTTTCGATACATCACTGACGAAGCAATTTTTTTTTCTCCGCAATAGTTTGCCTTTTATTTCTGCAGTAGACCAGTTGCCATTCAAGGCTATAGAATCCGGTCTGTCTTGCTATTTATCCATAGCTGGGGGTGAAGAAGAAGATTCATACCTTTCCCAAGGATATTAGCACGAAAGTGAATGTAATAATTTCGACTGTAATTCGAAGGTACAAGTGTAAAAAAGCACAAACAAATTTCCGTCGTCAACGATGTGTGTACATCTCTTCCATTGGCGGCTCAAGATTGTAGAGGTTTGTATCACAGAGGGTCGCTATTACCGACTGCCATTAATTTCGACGTTTTATCCCATACGAATGTTTTTTTTTTAATTTCCTTATTAAATGGCGACCCCACGCTGAATTAAGATAAGTGGTCTATATCTGCAGGTGTGAGATCACGTGTGAACTGACCGGGCCGAAAACTAATCTGAGTCGAGTCGAGAGAAGATGAATGCCTGTGCAGTATTTACTTGATAGATGGCCAACAGTTTAAGTGAATGGACGCGGCCAGAGGCCAGAAGCCGACGCGACATCAGCAAATAGCGAGCGTTTACAGCTGCATGAGGCGGCGATGCTGGTCTGGAGGATCAATCAAGGCTGGAGTTTCGGACACTGTCACACAGACACAAGCTCAAGACCGATCGAAAATGTCTTCCTTTTTCCACCGTTTTCATACTAACTCTCTAAGTCTGGTAAGTTCTCTTTTTCTCTTCATTTTATCTATCTATCTATCTATCTATCTATCTATCTATCTATCTATCTATCTATCTATCTATCTCACCCTGCCCATTATCTCTCTCTCTCTCTATCTCGCTCACTCTATCTATCTATCTATCTATCTATCTATCTATCTATCTATCTATCTCACCCTGCCCATTATCTCTCTCTCTCTCTCGCTGACTCTATCTATCTATCTATCTATCTATCTATCTATCTATCTATCTATCTATCTCACCCTGCCCATTATCTCTCTCTCTCTCTCTCTCTCTTACTCTATCTATCTATCTATCTATCTATCTATCTATCTATCTAGTCTGTTAAATTCAATCTATCTATCTATCTATGTCACCCTGCCCATTATCTCTCTCTCTCTCTCTCTCTCTCTCTCTCTCTATCTATCTATCTCACCCCTGCCCATTATCTCTCTCTCTCTCTCTATCTATCTATCTATCTATCTATCTATCTATCTATCTATCTATCTATCTATCTCCTACTCTGCCCATATATATATATATATATATATATATATATATATATGGGCTAAAATGCTCAATATCAGAGATAGAGCAAATAAATATAAAAATCATTATTGAAGTCAACGCTTAGAAGTCAACGTCTCTGAGTGTTGACTTCAATGTCCACAATGCCCATATATATATATATATATATATATATATATATATATATATATATGTGTGTGTGTGTGTGTGTGTGTGCGCATGCGTGTGCGTGTGGTTGAGGCCAAACAAACCACTGTACTTCCACGTCTCTTCGCTGGGCTTTCAGCCGTTTTATTGTAATGGGCCGTGGCCAGAACGCCAACAACATGCCACTGATTCAAAAGTCATTTTTGACCGCTAACTGACCAGTACCCTTCCTCTTATCTCTGACCCTTTTTTGATTGACCCCCATGTGTCCCGACTGGACATTGACCTATGGTGAACACTTCTATAACCCTTTGGCCCCGCAGAAAAAAAAATGGCTTAAGTAAAAATAGGATTTTTTCCCCTAATTTTTGTGTTGCAGCAATTTAAAACATTTCTTAGTATAATGGCTGGTGACACGGAATGAGAAATCTGGGTGCCGGGTTCGAGTTCCCGTTGTGTTCGTTCCATTCCTATACTTTCAAATGAGACAAAACAGGGATGTGGATTCTCGAACGCCGGCCGTCTCAATTGAAATTCGAACCCACTGGTTCATTTTTTTAAAAAATCAATTCACCCTAAGCAAGGCGATAATGCCACTAAGACGCGAGCGTTTACTGAGAACGAAAAGACATCTGAAGGAACCAGAAACTCAACCCCAAACGAGAAACAAGGGATAAACCTCTACTTCTGTTCAAAGACAACGCGGACTGCGAGTCAGAAGATAGGCGGCCTATCTACTCCTGTTGAGGATTTTTAAAAATAATAAATAAAGATTCAGGGTTTAGTGAAGACGTCCTAATTATAGACTTGAAGTAGACTTTAGAAAGAACCGGAAACCGGAAATTAATGGCAAGGTTGAAAGTTGAAATGGCTGGACATAACAGTAATTTCTACGCTAACCGTTTTTTTTTCTTTCGGACTTCTTGGTTGTGGAACTTACTTTCTTGCTTTATTTATACTCGGCTGTGATTTTATTGGCCCTGACCTGGCATATCGGCTTCAGTCAATTTCCCACCGCTGTAAAGCTGTTTCTCTGTACCTTTTCTATAAATATTTTCATTATCTGTCTATATTTCTGATATGAGGTATTATGTACATTATTTACATTATTCGGACTTATTTGTCTTCATCTTTGTCGCCATATTTATTACAACGTTTCAGCCGTTCAGTATCTGTCTATATTTCTGGGGTGAGGTATTATGTACACTATTTACATTATTCTGACTATTATCCTCATCTTTGTCGCCATATTTATTACAACGTTTCGGCCGTTCAGTATCTGTCTATATTTCTGGGGTGAGGTATTATGTACACTATTTACATTATTCTGACTATTGTCCTCATCTTTGTCGCCATATTTATTACAACGTTTCGGCCGTTCAGTATCTGTCTATATTTCTGGGGTGAGGTATTATGTACACTATTTACATTATTCTGACTATTGTCCTCATCTTTGTCGCCATATTTATTACAACGTTTCGGCCGTTCAGTATCTGTCTATATTTCTGGGGTGAGGTATTATGTACACTATTTACATTATTCTGACTATTGTCCCCATCTTTGTCGCCATATTTATTACAACGTTTCGGCCGTTCAGTATCTGTCTATATTTCTGGGGTGAGGTATTATGTACACTATTTACATTATTCTGACTATTATCCTCATCTTTGTCACCATTTCGGCCGTTGTTAGACCGTTAGTAGACTGTTTAATGGATGTCAGTTATCAGTTATCTCCTGTTAATTTCCCTTTGAAAGTTCTCCACTGCCTTAACCGGGCATTGAACTCACAGTCTTTGGGTCCTGTCACTACATCTAAACAACGCCTTTATCCACTGTGCCATGTGTTCTTGAGTAAGGTAGTGGAGAATTTTCACAGGGAAATTAACAGGAGATAACTGATAACTGACATCCATTAAACATGGCACGTGGAACTAGAACAGTCTACCACAGTGAGCGAAATAAAGGGTCCAGTTCGGCATTCCAACCCCTGAAGAAGGCCGGAGCGTACAACGGCCGAAACGTTGTAATAAATATGGCGACAAAGTAAGTAGTTATTTGGCATGGGAGAGAACCGAAATCAATATTTCAATATGACCAAACATCAGTTACTATCGGGTTAAAAATGCATTTTTGCGATTTTTTATACTTAAAGTAGATAATATTGGTTTCAAATCAGATTAATTATACTTTAAATCAACTAATATTCCTCAAATAAAGATTCAAAAAAATATATTGCATTTTGAGGATAACATTGCAATGAAAGACAAATATAAAAAAAGGGATCTAATCAGTTATTTTATTATTTTTTTGCAATCGGTACCACCCCATGCAAGGCAGTACAGCCACTAAAAACTAAGGGGTTACAGGGCGGGAAGAAATTACGTACAGAAACATTAGTAATGAACAGAAAGAGAAAACAGTAATCAGGCGGACAGTAGATAGCGAATGACGAAATTTTAGGTACCATTACGAAGATCACACCCGAACAATTACTATGAAGGTATTTATAAAAAAGAGCATAGAGACGTAACCTTATGGTAGTGGGAAAGTGACTGAAGACTAGCGGCCAGATCAGGACCAATAATATAGCTGATTCTTCTTTTGATCGTATCAAGTGAGGTAGCGCGCCATATATGGCAGTAATATTCTAAGCATGAACGAATCGTAGATTTAGAGATATGCAAGATAGATTCCGGAAAGAAAACTTGTCTCGCACGACAGAGTGAATCGACTTTCTTAAAAAACAAAAAAAAACAAAAAAACAAAAAACAAAAAACAATTCCTTCCCAGTCAATAAATTTTAAATTAATTTAAAAAAAAACAGCAAAGTATTTTGCTTATTGGAGATATTAAATTTAATCTAAAAGCTTGAAATTAAAACGATAAAAGCTTCAAGATAGATTTTTCATTTTAAAAAATTAGTTTTAAACCTTCGGTATCCTTTATAGCAGTTTTTTATTTATTTTTTGAGGTACCTAATATGAATTTAGAAAAAATTTGCTAACGGAAAATTCATTAAAGAAAATTCGGTAACGGAAAATTCCGTAATTTTGACAAGGTAGGAAAATTTGTAACTATGAAATAAAAGAAGATTGAATATTGATTTTAGGGCTGTGTGGGGATTTGGTGGCTAAGCCAATAACTGAAAATCGTGGTGTCCAGATAAATACCCACCACAACAATACCAGGGCCGTACTTCCTGGAGGGGGCTAGCAACCCCCTACTTTTAAATAATAATAAACTAAAAAAAAATCATGGGTTCCAGTCGAGATAAAACCCCACTGCAATAATACCAGGGTCGTACATTCTGAATGGGGAGTTTAGCCTTCCGATTTTTTAAAATAAATATTTTTTTTATAATAAGTATTTATTTAATGACTATAATCTGATGTTTTGAAGCAAAGAAAATCGATTTATCTAAGTTCAAGTTAAGATTTGTGTTTTCTTTTCAAATTATTATTTTAATAAAAAAAAAAGTAGTAAATAAATTAAGTTTTAGATAGTTACAGTGTAACCCGGATATAAGAGACTCGGATATAAGAGAAACCCGGACATAAGAGCGATTTTCTCTGGTTCCAAATTAGAGCCATACTTACCTAAACAAAATAGACCAAACCCGGATATAAGAGAAACTCGGATATAAGAGACTTCTTCTCCGGTCCCGACAACTCTCTTACATCCGGGTTACACTGTATTTTTTTTTAAAGAAGCAAAATGTATATAACCTCATTTCTATTTAAAAAAAAAAAATAGGGCAGTGGTTTAGCCCCCAAATACCCATTCCAGAAGGGCCCTAAGATCAATTTTCAATCGACTTTTATTTCATAATTACCGAATTTTCCTACCTTGTCAAAATTAGCGAATTTTTCCTTACCAACTTTTCCGTTACCGAATTTTCTGGGAACCACCTACTGTATGTTCTTCTATTTCGCTGAGGACAAGAAATATGAAATTGCTGAATGGAATTACCTTTTCTCTGTATGCCACCATTGACCGAGTTTGGGGCAAACAGGTTGGTACAAATAAAGAAGAAAAAGAAAGAAAGAAAAGAAGTAAAGGAAGTAAGGTAAGAAGAATTTGACCTCTGAGTGATCCTACGCTTTACCTCCTAAACTGACCACCCTTAACTTTATTTCTTCAACACATGGACAACTCGACCCCTGCCGCTGCTAGAATTTCACATTCCTTGCTGACCATTCTTCTTTAGATGTTGTTTCCCCTCAGGACGTAGGCGATCTCCAAAACTTCCTTTCCTTTGTAGCTCTTAAAAAGAATTGTCTTTCTGTTATTTCTTCCTTCGCCCTGTTCCGCCTTTCTTCACTATGTTACGCGTGGCCTTCATCTGTCCCTGTGAGTGTCAGATTTTCCAAGCCCTCTTTCCTCAGTATGTTCCCCCCGAAAACTCAATTGTCTCTTCCTGATTCCTTCTTGTTTTCATTTTCTCTAAACTTCGTCGTTGCTCCCATGCCCGGTCCTTTGTATCCTCAGTATCCTTCTGTAGATCCACATATCTGTTGCTTCAAGTCTCTTCTTCGTCTTTGGGAAGATTCCTCGGCACTAACTGCCATACAAGAGGTCAGATATCACGTAGAAATTTAGTACTCTTTTCCTTGTTTCTAGCAAAATTTTCCTATTTCTAAGTACTCTGCTTAGCTTTTGGAAGGCAGCTTTGACTATCCCAATACGCTTTCGGATTTCAGTGTCGCTCTTTACGTCCTCTGTTAAAGAAATTCAGCACTTGTTTTATTTTGGTACCTCCGATTTTCAATGCCCACTTTGGGCTCATCCTTTTGTTAACAAACATGCATTCTGCCTTGCAGTTGATGTTTAATCCTTTCTTCAGCGCTACACGATCTGAAAACTTATAAAACTGTTATTCTGTTTTTCATTTAATAAATCAAGTTTGACACGTCTTACCACGAAACCAACGACCTTCGTCCTCAC